TGCCACTGCACATTGTGACGGGATGGACGTCATTTCCTAACGATGATCGAGTTGGCTCGGCTAGTTTTTCGTTTGTTCAGAGAAATGGTCTTTCTTTATCAGAAAATTGTCTTTCCCCTGTATGATTTTACGGAGGTTTTAATTAAAAATGTAGAGTATATTTTCGTTAATTTTTGTCGTATTAAATCGCTCACAACATAATTTAGCATATCGTAATTAATGTTTTTCCTATTGGATCTCGTACAGTACAATTTTGTTGAGTTTTCAAATTCGTGGTATTTTACCTCTGATTTTCAAGTTACCATTACCTGTTTCTTACTTCGGTGAATATGCAATTCCGATTCGTTATGTTCTTGTTTCGTTAATATCTCTCGTACTAACGCTCGTTCGTCATCGTTTTTCATCTAATTTTCAAGATACTTACTCGCCAAATAATAGATGATTTATAATTTACTATCTATTTCTTCTTTTTATCGAATATATAATTTTCATACGTATCTTTTATCCGGTTGTATAGAATTTATTTTTCTTCGCGTTCCATCAGATATTAATATACCGTCTGGTTTGGTAATCAAGCGTTTAATCAGACCCAAGCTTAAAAGTCTTTTCGACAGCTGCACGTAAATGCCATTTGCGGTTAATAAACTCCAAGTGTAATTAATCGGAATTGACAAAGGGCAGCGACGCGATAACCTATATAATTCGAATGAAATTTCGCATTCGATGGTGATCGTGCCGCGGATAGGGAACGGGCATTTGTGATTTTGAAGTTTGCGGTGAACCAATACCATGGAGAAAGGGGAGTCCAATGAAGAAACTTTGCCGACAGTTTATGGAATTATGATCGCGTTTCTCACTTGCGTGGTTGGTTACGTTTTGTGGGTAAGTGTTACTATTGCGACAAACATGATTTTATATATGGCGAACATGTCGTATTTTATCGCATTTTGAAAGTGACACGGACAAGTCTTTGAAGAAAAGAGGTAAACTATTTGGAAACGTATAGCAAACAAATTATTTAAGAAGTAAAAGAATAATTTGCAAGTAACAGCGATCAAATATTAGTTTTGTAATTTTTCATTCCAAAAGAGTTGAACAATTTTTCACAATATTCTTCGTTCGTTAAGAGAAGTCTGTATTTATTTTATCGAAAATTACAGTTTGAGTGAACTTGTTTTTCTTTCACAGAGTATATCACGAAGAATATTAAAAATTAATAGCTTATAGTAATAACGATGTAAATGACATAGCATGTGATGGAAGATTTTAACACGAGAACAGTATAGAGGAAATTGGAATTTCTGTTGTTTCATAATATCCAATAACGCGCTATGTATACACCGTATATGTATAATACATGCAATTATTGCAAAATATTGTACGATACTATGTAAACGCGGGACTAACACTGTAATAACTTCGATTCGCGTGGATGTTAATTACCAGTTAAACGTTTTTCTCGTGTTTGTTGGAACTGGCGGCGAAATTCATGCATAAAATTATTCCCCTGTTTTTGTTGTTAATTGGAATAACTTTCGGCAAGATAAAATGTAACGAAATTTTATTACGGTGGAACTTCGTTCATCCGAACCGGACGGGAGACAAAATATTTCGGATAACCGACAAATTCGGGTAACAGAGACTCTCTTGCTACCCTCGTCAGTCGCTGCTATGAGTTTCGACAATACAGATTGACGTTTGAATGAGGTTCAACTACAATTTCGACGCGAATTCCATTAAATTAAATATATATCTCAGCTTAGACAAAACACACGGACGTGTTCGACTTCGGAATACGCGTTAGTATATGTATAATTAAAAGCATGCTCGAGCGCAGTTCGAATAATAGAGGTTCGGTTACTCGGTAACTGACGGTAAACAAAATCTGCTTTGTATAAGCGGGATTCGCATACACAGAGTTCGGCAAAACTTAGTTCTACCGTATCTGAATATCAGAAATTCTTATAATACATTTTTTGATAGATGTATCGTGAAACGAAGATATAAAATAAATAACGTTTATATAATATTTATTACACGTACGTAACTTTAGCGTAATTTATTCAATATCGCAATCAGAATTCCAAACGAAGATTTCCTTTGCAAATTAAACATCGATATCGTATAACGCTACCACAAAAAAGAAACACATACCAAAGCATGGAAAAATATTTATATTAAAAACAACGGTATAACACTGAAACGTACAAAAATATCCGGCTTTAAAACAATACTATGAAATATAAAAGCGATTGCGCAGAATTTCTTTTGTACGTCTAATTAAACTTTCCAAAACGGAATAATATACATATTGTATGACTGGAAGTATTTTCATCGACCGCTAGCAAACAAGTCGACGAATCAGCAACACGAACGAAATTGGGCTACCGCGTATGACGGTCCAACTCTGTGGAGCATTAATCAGAAATTATTTCGATGTTTGAAGTCAAAGCATCATTCAACGACGTCCACTTATGAGAGCGGACGCAGCCTCTTGTTTGGACCAGGGCCACTCAATATCGTCGGCATTGTTTGGCATAATCGTCGCGCGCATTTGGTGCATCAACCATAATCCGTTGGCACGCGTGCATTTCGCGAATGCGACGCGGTGCCCGTTAAATTATGGCTGCGTAATTAAGATGCGAGTCGATTGTTTCATCCGGTCCAGCAACGCAACGCTGGAACAAGGGTTAACTTACATTCCGATGGTGACCGATATTCAGCCCGTTCCGACGCGATTCTCCGCCCTCCATCATCTTTTGTTCGCAACAATTCGCTCTTCGTGAATTACATAGTTAGTTGCCTCTGATGATATTTCCGGAAATGATCCTACACCCAATGGAATTAGTTGCATCGCTGGAATTACCGATACTCGAGCTGCAAACGGCCGATTGTGCTGCTTTCGGGCTGATTTCGAGGATCGAATAGTTTTTTCAAACTACGGTTATTTGCAGATACTTTCGGAAGCTGAATATTTTTTTGCAACTAAGAATAATACATTTTTGTGGAAACACATATAAATAATCCCACTTTTAACGTATCAAATAAGTTGATATTTTTTGATACCCTACGAGTACGTTCTTACAAAGTACGTTTAATCCCAAAAAACGTTTGCTGTGTACCGTCTAAAGTGAATTATAAATTCAGTGCAAAGTTAGAATGAAACGAGTTACATTATGGATTAGCTGCTGCTAATTTCATTCTTCGAGTAATCGTTGGTTTAAATTGATTCAAGTTGAAGTTCTTAGCCTAATTGAACCGTGAACTGTTGTGTTACATACCGTTTGTATTAAAGCTCTTCCCAGAGTTTGCACTTCTAACTAATTTCGAAAGGTGGACTCGAACAGCGAGAATGGTCGTAGAAGTGACATCAGGATGTAAATCTGTGATTAGTTCTACCATTATGCGAGCTTTACCATTGGTAGACATGGGTCTACACGTAGGTAATGGAGACTGGATATTTCGCAAGGTGATTTATGACCTTCCCTAGATCGCCACACGCTGAAGGAACTCTCATTAGTGTTGTGTCCCCAACACCTATCATCAACTAGCCACCAATTGATACTTTGGACTTTGCATCCCTCGTCACCTCGTAATCCGAGTAATCACATTCAAAAGCTAATATAGTCACTAATTATCCTAATCGCAAGTTTGATATCGTAATTGCAGCTCTAAATAACATACTATCCTCTTTTGTTTTAACATCATTAACGTCATTAAAGTACGTCGTGTATCGTGATTTCTACTACCTCGCCTACTCGAGGCATGGACCAGTTAGCGTATATACAATTTTTACCGATGAATTTACTGGTGTTTACTTTTTTTAGTGTTCGCTTTTTTTTTTACTTCGGATGGTTGAGTCGAAGGTGACGTTTGCACTTTAGAAATTTCGTTCATGTATCAAATACGCGTTATTCGTATAGAAGACACGAAATATTAAAGATACTAAGTTTGCACTGTGGTACCATTTTTATTATCTTTTACCGAGATTTCTTTACTGAATTTATTATGTGTTTTTAAAAATTGTCTCAAATTGTACACTTTTAAACCTACAAAAATTTTTATCGGTTTCCCTAAAACAAATCGTATGCTGAAACAATTTAATTCGTTATTAAAAGATCATAGATATTCGTAACATACATGAAATGGTAATCAAGGATTAATTACGTCGCCGCGATAGTACAGTTGAGCACGTACCTGGAAAGTTCGACTGTATAAATTCCGCAGCAAACTTAGCCAAAAACACCAATCCTCCGATCAGCGACCATCCAACAATTAATACCCCATACTTCACGTCGTTGTTCGATCGATAACCACGACCAATAAGAATCTCCAACGCGGCTCACCGTTGCTCCCGATCTCAGCGGGCGTCGAATACACGCCAAAATGGATCAACGAAACGAATTGCTCGGTTAACGATCTCGCCAACTCGATCCCCGTGGGGACACAGAAACGCTATTCGGTAGAGTCACGAGAGAAGGAACGTTTGATGTTGAAAATATATCCGGAGATATAAAAGACCTAATTAAGCGACGAACAATTTTTACGATCAGTTAGATTCCTCAAGGAGTTTACACTTCCTTATACTAAAATTTTAGCGAGTTAATTAATTGAAAATTATCGTTCTGTCTCAATCTTGAATATCTTCAAGATAGATGATATCTTGCAACTTCGCTTGTATAACTCGTTAACCTTAACTTTTATAACTTTGTAACTCTCTATTAATTTGTCAATTTTACTACATGTACGAGCCCGCAATTAATATTCAATTTTTAAGAAGAAAAAAACGACTTACTTTCATTAGTGCAACTATTAAATAGTTCAGCCAAGTAACAATTTCGTTTCTTTCTCGAGTGATTATTTTCAGACATTTAAAAATATGCCATAGCGCGTTTTTGACTTATCGCTTTATTCAAATTCTATCAATCGCCTTTTTATCAATTTTTCCAAAACAATCGTCCGTACAACGGATCATCCAATACTTTACATACTATACTTACCGATAAATATGACCGCCAAGAATCCTCGACGTGACTCGTCGTTGCTGCCGATCTCAGTGGGGATCGAGCGCGTCAGAGTGGATCAACGAAGCGAATGGCTCGGCTAACGATCTCGCCGATACGATCCCCGCGAGGACACAGGAACTCCATTGGATCGGAGCCGCGAGAGTGCATTCAACACTCGACGCGAACCGCGGCTGCGTTTACGCGTAGCCTGCACGCTCGTTACGCCGCGCCAGCAATCAGCTCTCGTTGCTGCGGTCAGGTCAGGTGAGCGTGCATCGAGGCAAGAGGAGGGAGAAAAAAACTGGCGGAAGAGGATGGGACAAAGTGCAGGTTGCACGTTGGGGAAAAGCGGCGGCGCATCAAAGAGCGATTAACCCCCTCGCAGCCTGCCGAAAGGAAATCCGGCCAGCCGCGAAAGAGGATCGTTATGTTTTTTCCAAGCGCGAATTCAACGGCATCCCGTCGGATCGTTTCGTTCTGATCATTGAAAACTGACGGAAAGCGATCGGAGGCTGAAGATTCAGGTCGTTACATCGTCGATATTGTTTCGACTGTGCGCGGGAATTTTTACGGTCGCTCCTGGATCTGTTGGCGAAAATTCCAACGGAGAGCGGCAACGAGGATTTCATGGACTTGATTACATTCGCTTCTTTTTTTTTGTTCGGATAAGGATTGAAGAGTAGGGATAGATTTTTTATAAAAGGAAAGAGTTCTTTGTGACTGTCGATAGGTTCTGTGTTTGAGGCTTCGGAAGAGATACGGAGAACTTGTGCTTTGAGTTTGTAGATGTGGGGATTACGCGAGAGCTGGTTCCTTTATGCTTCGTTGAAATTGAGAAGAAGTGATTTTCGATGTACAGAGAATAACTGCAGGTATAAAATAAATGATAAAATAATAATTAAGTAATAGACACTTGCTCGATCGTATCTTGGAGATTGTCTAGTTTCTTGTTGGTTAAAGTAAACTTAGGGATCGTGTTAAAAATTATCGTAGTACTTGGATTTTAAACGACTTAAAGGTAGATGATATCTTTCAAGGAAATTGAATTAAGTTTCGTATTATTCACCTATGGTAATCATAGCTTACAATTTCTATTTAAGCAGACATCTTAAAAGTTTTATACATAACAAATATTATATTTCAAATAATCGATCGAAGGTTTCTTCGTTCCTGCATCCATCGTAACACCGGCAAACGTCAAACATTTGTAATGATTCACGAGGCAAATTGCGGAGAACAAACGACGATTATCCTCGTTTTCCGTGTTATTTGAATCGTTACATGGCGTCACAGCGAAATAACGACTCCAACAAATTACCATATTATGCGCGTTGACACAGTCGTTATTACAATTACGTTGAAACGTATCAGCGAGCAGAAAGTTACTAGCAGAAAGCTGCGAACGTTCGCAGATAATTAGGCAAAATCAACGCGACCTTTAATGGAGCATATTTAATCTACGAAGTAATTAATGCACGGTTCACTGGCGTTTAAATATTACTTAACATGCGTAACAAACAATAACGCTATGCTAATGTTATTTCGCGTAATTGTAGTACACGTCGTGAAAGAATAGCAATTTCGAACGCGAGAACGAGGGTTATCATAATTTTGAATTATTTATTCAAATGATATATCGCATCAAGTTTAAGAAATAGCTTATTGGTCGTTAATGTTTCTAAAGTGAATTACCGATTACGACGATCCTCATAATATCTTATATGTGTATTTCTTATGCAAAATATAATTATCATATTTTATTGTTATTGTTATTGCCTTGATTGCCATTACCGCTATTGGCTCAGTTTGATGAAACTGTGATTATAGTTCTGTGATTAATGAGATAACTTAATATCTATTAATTGAATATCTAGTTTAGTATCTTTTTTCCAGGGAATGGCAAGCTACATTCGTTAATGCACATTTTATCTTCGTACATGTTTTTAATACGTCGACCGGTAAAAGGATTGATCCTATTAAATTACGTGGTCAGTTACGTTATCTTCTCTGCACCATTCCAATTTTATCTGAAATATTTATCGATGTCATCGAGTGTTTCAAAAATACTCGCTCGAATCGGTTTATATGATACACATTGTATGATATAATACGTGTACCACTAATATTTCCATAATAGATTATTTTCGTAGCTGGTCGACGCGATTAGAGATACGTACGCGCGATCGTACAATTTGTATCCCTTTTTCCAAATTGATTGCTTTTCGTAGATTTGTATATCGACTTTCTTGGGTTACTTGCGCACGTAATAAAATCTTGGAACCGTAGTATAATTTACTATTCTCTATAATAGACACTTCTAATAAAAGTCAGGCTCGTTTCATAATTTCAACATCCATTTACATCTGCTCTAAATGTACCAACGACAAGTAGCTAAGTGTCCCGTGACTTATGAACAACGTTGTACATATAATTCATGCTTGGCAGTACTCGATTTCATAAATTACTCCGCGCCAGAAATTTAATCCAGAAAAGGATTCCTGAGAATGCCGTAGCACCTCGGAGCTTCTCTATATTTTCCGTCTCCATTATCATGTTGTCACGGAACGATATTTACAGCATAACATTTCTACGTCGTGTCCCGAACTTTTGCGCGCGACTCAGACGCGCGATTAATCTTCGGCCGTTAAACAACAAGCAAGAGAGCCGGTGGTTAATTTCACGAGAGTCTGCGCGTAAGCAAGCAACTCAAATAGATCTCGAGACCGATGCGAGTGGCTGACGAGGCGACCAACGGAGAAGTTGTTCACCGTTTCTCAAGCCGCTGGAATCTCCGTGGCATTGGGAACACCTCGATACGAACGCGTCACGAGGTTACGGCGCTACGTCTTGCTCCATTATCGTAATCACGTAATGACACGATATTATGGCCTGCATTATGGCTATCGATCGTTTGTTACCGGTAATTACAGGTGGAGCAAATGCTACGCGTGTTGTTCGAGTACGATTATGTACGATCGGTTCGCGATTGTAGCTACATGGATGAAGCGATTTGTCAAAATGGAATTTTTATATTCATACGTTGATTCGTGTGTGGAGGCAGGTATAATAGGTCGATTCTTATACGACATTTCCATTCATATTTTAATTATACAAGTAATAAACAATATAATATTGGCAGAAATTAGGTTGGAAATACACGTAAGAGACGTACGCGGTGGCCATTGATACATCATTTACTGTAGCGTTTACATAAGTTTACCACATACGTAGTGTTTACTAGTATGAAACTTACTATTCAAATACGGTAATGAAACCGTGTAGATAGAAAACACATTGAGATACGAATCAATCTCTGGCGAATAAAGTGGAAATTATTATTGTATATATTTTCAGAATCTAAAACAAATACGTAGTATTTCTGTGATTATTATAATTTCTCCTCTTTTAGTTTCATGATTCCCGACTGCTCGGAGTTTAACGAAGAATAAATAGACAGTATATACCAACGTTCTTAGAATATGCGATGATACTATAGAAATGGGCGGGAAATTTAAACCGAACTTACGTATCTTGACGTTAATTCTTCTTCTTGGATGCTGAATTTATCTAAAAGATAATATCGTTCGCACTTGTTATCGGAAGTTTCTGATTAAATTTGTAGAGGTGAAACATCATCGACGAGTTTTCAAGCGAATAATAATGAGTTTATCGTTCGTTTCGTCGATAAAATGGAATTGAGAATTTTTTCACAGCGTACTTCGTGCAACGTTTTAAACGATATTCTCAATTCGATCGTAGTTAGTTCACTCGTTCAGGGTCGTACGTTCTATTTCTCAATCGGGCTCGTCTGGATTGCTGCTCCTCGACTCCAAATAGAATATGCAGAAATCTTCAAAGCTCGTTACATTGCTGGTAGCGAACTCTACTTGCGTATTTATAGTCCGGCTAAGAATACTAGCATCGTTTCGATGCATAACGTGGTTTCGTGTAAGGACATGGTATATATTTATGTTGTTGGGTAAGTGAACGCGGATGTTACGTAACGTTGAAAATAATTGTACGTTCGATTGTAATTTTCCTTCGATATTTCTGAAAAAATACGACCCCGAATCTTACTGCAACAGATTTTAAAATCGTTCTACTAATACGTCTTTGGTAAATTAAAAATTTAACCGGTTTGTGGCATACGCAATAAAGTTCATTCTATTTGTGACTTCAATAAAACTTTCTTCGTCGTTTTATAAATCAGAACTTAAGACTGACGAGTATATGAGTAAGAGAAACTTTAATTTCTTCCCATGATATCTTTCTAATTATTTCTTTCAATTTCGCTGTTAGATAATTTTTGTGTATAATTGTAAAATCCAACTAACTATTCGTACATACATATATATACATAAACCAATATGCTAGCCAACAAAATTTCGGCCATAACATCACAAGCTTATACAACGAATTTATTCAAATATCAAGTACCCTCGCTCAATTATTTTTAAGTTGTCACGCTCGCGTCGACATTTTTTCGCATTATTCCTGAAACAAACTTTATATACGGTCAGGTTAACACGTAGAAGTTACGACTGATCTGACAGATATATGCGACATTTTCTCAAAAATATTTCCAAATCGGCACGTCGTGAAGTTTGTCGACGACGAGTAACCGATATGTATATTAGCAATAAATCCTCCTGTGTGCGTATCTCTTGGGATTAAGGAGAAACATATATCGTAAATATTTCTCAGACGAATAAGAAGAATTTACGACAGGCTGGGAAAAGGGGAGGATAAGCAAGAAGAGGAAGACGAGGAAGGAAGTTGGGTGGGAATGTGAAGGGAGGAAGCGGAAAATAGAGAAGGAAGGAAAGAGAAAGTAAGGAAGGAAGCAACGGAGGAAAGGGAAGCTCTCAGAAATAATGCTTACCTTTGTTGATTCCAGCATTCAAGGAGCAATTAATTAATGTCTCTCTCGCTATTCAACTCTTACTCTGTTTTGCAATTACTGTATCTCACCTGAGCCGTTTGTAAATATCTAACTACCGAAGCACGTAATTTTAACTAATTAAATCAACTAATATTTACGTTTCATTTCGTTAATACGGTAAATATGTATTTTGATAGACTTAAACATTTTTCGTATATTCCCATAATTTCCAAGCAAAAATCGACGAAGTAGCAAATAATATAAATGAAAATCACTGATACACAGCGATCCACGATGCAACTTTTAAGATCAACACTTGCGGGC